ATGGAAAATTCACCAGAAATTGGCGCTCCAGATGGAAGACTATTGGCGACTGGACGCTGAAAACCAATATTACTTTGTGGTCGTTCATAAGGTGGTTGAAAATAGCCTACAAAGAAATTATTTAGCATCAGGATGGTGGATACTGGTAGGCAAAAAAATATGAATATCAAAGAAAATCTTACGATTAGTCTATTCATTTCAGTAAATCATAAATTAAGCTTAAATACCTTCCGAGAATAAAATAAAAATTGAAATAGTATGTCATAGATCAAACGAACAAGCACTAGAAACCAAAGAGGCCAATTTGAATAACAAACGGGGATCAGGAACTTTTACATGGTTGGGTAATTTTTCCTAACAAACGGGGAAGAATAACAAGCACTACACAGGCATACAAAAAAAAAAAAACAACAAAAAGAAATCAAAAGAGCTACAAGAAAAAGACTCCAATCAGGAATAAATCCTAATATAATTACAAAAAGACATGCCCCACGGTCAGTGTTTTAAAAAACATGTGCTTTGGCGCCTAGGCTCTGAGCACAACATTGGCACCTAGCTTCACTGTCAGGAAGCCATAGCCAAAGCGCACCTTCCATGAACCCAAAGTCTAAAAAGAATTTGTATGTTTTGACTCTAAACGCAGAAACCCTCGTGTTTGGGGATTTTTTTAAACTAATATAAACATGTATTATTTACTTAAAATTAAAACCCTTGGCCCATTTCGCCACCATCTCCTCAGTGCCACACACAACTACATCTCCGATAAGCACTCTCTCACTCTCAATCGTCAGACGTTCTTTATTCATCTTAACTAAGCACCCTCTCCTTCTTTCTTAAAACTTTATGTTTTTTTTTTCTTTTTTTGTGGAGTATTGACCCCAAAGAACTGCTACGCTTTAGTCTGCCTCAAGTGTTAAAAAACACTACTCAGAACGAGGCATTGAAACCAACAACCTTCCAGAACTTCACCTTAGATCTTCCAATGCCTCTAAAAAGCCTATCGTTCTTCTCAAGCTCTTAACCAAAGAATGAAGAAAAAGCATGCATGCCAAAGAAGTGTCCTACCAAATATGGGGAGACATTCAAGCCCTACAATCCTTCCTCCGAGTCAACATGACTCTGAACAACTACATCTCCAATAAGCACTCTCTCGCTCTCAATCGTCAGACATTCTTTATTCATCTTAAGTAAGCACCCTCTACTTCTTTCTTAAAACTATATGTTTTTTTTTATATGTTTTTTTTTCTTTTTTGTGGAGTGAGTATTGACCCCAAAGAACTGCTATGCTTTAGTCTGCCTCAAGTGTTAAAAAACACTACCCAGAACGAGGCATTGAAACCAACAACCTTCCAGAACTTCACCTTAGATCTTCCAATGCCTCTAAAAAGGCTATCGTTCCTCTCAAGCTCTTAACCAAAGAATGAAGAAAAAGCATGCATGCCAAAGAAGTGTCCTACCCAATATGCGGAGACATTCAAGCCTTACAATCCTTCCTCCGAGTCAACATGACTCTGAAAGCATCTTGAAATCTAGACCGCATCAGCAAAGCATAACAACAACCTCAAAGGATATGGTCAAGATTCTTTAGTGCACCTCTTACCCATGAAAAGAGAGCATCGTTGTGGCCCTAAGAAGAAAGGAAAATGTTTATGCATACAAAACTGTTCACTTCCATGCAAGACATGCTTGGTAAAGAATTTAACCTTCTTTTGGACCTTAATCTTCCAAAACCATAAAAAATGAATGGGTGATTGGGGGAAGCGAGGCAATCCTGATTAGAAGAAGAGAGAACTAGAAGAGAAGCGTTATGAAGAAGTCGAGGACCAAAAACAAAAATTTCTCCTACCTTGAACAATAAGTGAGTCCCTCAAATACAAATCAAAGAGGCATCCTCTGTAGACTTCCAATCAATGAGAGGATGACGAAACCCCAAAGCAAGAGACAAAGAAGTAACAAATGCCACAAGCTTAAACTTCAAATTGAAAAGATGGTACTAAGCCCTAGGCTTCCATAGCCATCCCCAATAAAGCATTTAAAAAGGTGAGAAAAGAAAGGGAACATTGAAGCAATATCTTACCACGGGTTTAAAAATGATCCCATTAGCCTACTACAAAAGACTAATTCAAAAGGATGAGGGGCATACTTGTTCACAAGAAATCTATGCCACTGAGCCCTAGGCTCCCAAAAGAAACTGCTACAATGTTCTTCGGTTTCAGCCTACCATACCAAAACCCCCAAACTCCAAAGATGTAGCGACCACCTCCCAACTAACCAAATGAGACCCCCCCCCCCCCCCC